TGGAGACCCTCAAAGAAAGATGTGCGGTCATGAGTCACTAAACATGTGCTGATCCAAGGGAAATAAAATTCAGCTGGGAGAAGGACGTGGGAAGGGATGGAGAGATGTATTGAAGTTATTTTTCCTCACCATGTTAAAGGCATTTCTCTAATTCCCATCACTGAATGGCAAGAAGGATGGAAGGAGCACAGTCAGGGACCTTCCTTCACATAATCATCTATAATTTTGAGCACCGACCATGTGCTGGACATTATGCTAAGTGCTTAAGAAGCATATTAAGAATGGTTCTCACCTTCAAGGGGAAAAGACAGGAAAACCAGTGTGCAGAGAGTGAAAGCTCCAAACGGCGGGAGTTTTTTCTTTTGTGGCTTGTTCACAGCTGTATTTATAGTATTTAGACTAGCCAATTATTGAATGAAAGAAGAGCGCAATGCCAGAGCTACGCATGGCTGCGGGAAAGGGAGACAGGCGGGGAGGAGCACCTATGAAAGCACTCAGGAGGAGGTCTGGAGGCCTCAGAGGATGCTCCCAAAGACAGCTTGGGTTGAATTTTGAAGACGTAGAGTAGGACATGGGAAAAAATTGGGAAATGGAATCCCCAGAAGTTTGGTGGAAGCAGATGAATTTGGAAACATTGAAGGATATGAGGAAGGAATGACAAGAGGGGCAAGAAGGGCCTTGTATGACAGGCAGAGAAGGCTGGCTGCATTCCAGGGGTGACAGAGCACCTCAGAGGGTTGTCAGCACAGGAGTAGTGCGGTCAGGCTGTGTTTTAGAGACTCTCTGTGTGGGTAGTGAGAGGGTAACCCAGGGGCTGGAGGAGTCCAGGGAGGGGCTCTGTGAAGAGACATGATAAGAAGCCGGCTAAGGTACTGAGGTTGGAGAGAAGGGCCTAGATCCAGGAAACATTTAGGAGGTAGAGTGTGCACACAGTTTGGTAGCTGAGGGGCTTTCTGGGATGGACAAAAAGTCCAGGGTGAGTTTCTGATCTGAGTGAATGGCGGGGGGGGGGGGGCTGATATCATTCACAGAAAGAGAGATTAAGAAAAGAGCAGTGGTTTCAACAAGTTGTGAGGAGGTGCTAAGTGCCACTGCGGATGTGTTGTGCATGTGGGATGCTCAAAAGGTGATGGCTCTCTAGATCTGAGAGTCACTGGCAAGTAAGTGGTAGTGGTAGATGAGGTAGATGGTAGATGAGGTAAGTGGTAGATGAGGCTGAGGACAGAAAAATATAGGGTATTATGCACATGAAACTGTATGAGAAATACCACCTTTAAGCATGGATAAACAGAGAAGTCCATGAAGGAGACTAGAAGGAGGTGAACTGGGAGAGAGGGTGTCACTGTTTCTGTGCAGTGGTATGCGAATGAATGAATGATGAATATATGTGTATGTGGAATGATTAATTATCTTACCTTTTCAAGATGGCCTTCCCATCTTGAACTTCAAGCATTGGACTATACAACCAGAATCTTTCCCCATTAATCTTGGTGCAGCGGCCACCAGAGGCATGACCTAGTTCTGCATGTGGTTATAAAGTGTCTCAAGGGTTTTCAGGAAAGATTGCAAGACACAGAGTTTTCCAACCAGTAGTTTCTCTGGCAATTAGCTTTATGCATTTTAAAAATAAACTTTCTATTTTATAGTAGTTTTTAGAATTTGAGAAAAGTTGAGAAGACAGTATAAAAAATTCCCATATATCTAATACCCAGTTTCCTCTATTATTCATGTATTACATGGTGCATTTCTTATAACTAACAGGCCAATACAGATATAGTATTATTAATTAAAGTCCAAGCTTTATTCGGTTTCCTTAGTTTTTAACTAGTATTCTTTTTCTGTTCTAGGAAAGCATCCGGGTGACCACATTCCATCTGCTTGTCATGTCTCCTTAGGCTCCTCGGGCTTTGACAGTTTCTCACACTTTCCTTGTTTTCTTGATGGCCCAGACAGTTTTGAGAAGTGCTCCTCAAGTGTTTATAGAATTTCCTTCTATTTTAGTTTGACAATTTTCTCAAGGTTGGACTGGGGTCATGGGTTTGGGGGACAAAGACTGCAGAGGTGAGGTGCCATTTTCATCACATCATATCAAGGTAGAGACCATCATCAGTCACCACTGTTGACACTGACCTTGATCGCCTGGCTAAGACAGTGTTAGTCAGACTTCTCTTCCTCCCCCTTTCCACACTGTACTCTTTGGGGGGAAGTCTATGTGCGGCCCACACGTAAGGAGTGGGGCGTTATGCCCCATCTCCTTGAGGAAAGAGGCAGTTAGCTTTTTAAATCTCACCCTGCCTTTTCTTTGAAGAGAATATCTCTTCAGCTTCTTTTCCTTTCTTTCAGACATCCTTTTAAGAACACATAGGCCTGTCAACTACAGAGCCTGACTTTAAAGGGACCTTTTATGGGACTTAATATTTCTAAATGTATCAACTTACACACATCTCAAAAACTCATCACAAGATTTTAAAATGCAGGTAAGGGGACTTTCCAGGCATGGAGGTCCCCTTTGAAGGAGCCTAGAAGGATACCTCCTTGTCCAGGGGTCCATCTGGCAAAGCCTCACCCTTCGTCTGCCCTGCTGGTGCCATGAACGAGCATGGCCTAACTGAAAAGTCAGGAATAAGTGACATCACCCCTCTCAGGAGAGAGGAATTGGAAAGGAAGTACTTGAAAAGAATAATGATGCAGAGGATCTTTTCATTGTGTTATAGATAAAGTCTTACTTTGTTCCAAAAACAACTTTGTTCCTATAAACCAAGAGTATCATTGTGAAAACACAACATGATCAAGGACTGCATCACTTCAAAGAGAATTAAGGCACAGAGTTTCACACTGAGACTGTAGAGAAAAGGATTATTATTTAAAGATACTGAAACTCCAACAAGAATAATCGTCATGTGAGTTAGGAAACCTGCGTCTTGGCACGATAAACGTTTACAACTTAATAAAACATTATTGCACTCTGATAAGATAAAACCTTAACCCCCTGCTTTGGTTCCCTTCAGTGGCTGTTTCCTGTCCCCCACCCTGCTCCCCTGCAACCCCCTCTGCCTCTCCATGGGTTGGGCGGAGCAAGGAGAAAACACACATTAACTGCTTTTCTCTCATTCTCTTTTCCTCCTTATTGCCTGGACTTTGAAGTTCAATGTCATGTAAACATTAACTTGCTTCTTAAATAAAGCTGCAAAGAGCAAACTGTAATCTGAGCAGATGATTTACCTCAACATTTTCTCACGAGCTCTAAGGATTCCGATTTCTTCTCTATCAGTATGTCTCTATCTCACAGAATTACTTTGAAATACTCTTAACTTATCATTATTATTGTTATTACTTTGGTATTGGCATGTTTTCCAAAGAATGCCTCTTTGAGATGATTTTAGATAATAATGTCCACTGAGTTTAAAAAATGTTAAGTTAAATTTTTGTTTTTTAATTAAAGAAAAAACATGTTAAATAGCAGCACAGTTGGTAAAAGATGGGGCAAAAATTATACTGGCTGAAGTTTGGGACTCACTAGACACTTTCATTAGTCAGTTTCACAAGTAAAACCGATTGTACAGGTAAAGCCTTAATCATCTTATAACTTTAGGAATAACCCACAGCGGCGAAGATGGTACATTTATTTGTTTTGGTAATCACCAGCCATGGTCTGCTTATATTACCAACAGTGTTTGTTGGTTTGTCTTTCATACAGTTGTGCTAATCATGGTAGTCTAAATTAGTCTAGCAAACACTTCAACTCACCAAACTATATGCTTCACTAATGCAATCTTTGCCAAGCTAGTGTTAAAAGGGAGGTTTTTCTGAATTTGCTTTGGAGCTGTTTTTATATTTTCTCCTAGGTTACATTTTATTTTTCCCAAATTAAGGAAATATACAAATACAGTAACTTTTCCTAACCTTGAGGACTTTAATACATGTTGCAACCCGGGCTGCTGCAGAAAGGACCCCTTAGTCATAAAAGCCTGACCCTGTACAAATTATATTTAATTACCTGCTTATATCTCCACTGTGCGTGGGTTCTTTTGCCATGTATAGTGTATGTCATTTAAAGTTGGCTTGCTGGACCTGAAGTGTGTCAATGTATAATCTCAAATAAATGAAAGATGGATACTAAAAAAATGCTAATTTTCTTAATCTTTTTTTCCCTGCACTGAGATGTTTTTCCTCGACAGACAATTAAATATTTTTGAGCCTTTGCTAAATTACTATGTGGTTAATTTTGCTCAATGGCAGGAAGCTTAGATATTTGTAAATTTCCTCGTTGCACCGTTCCTGATTAGTTGAGCTTTTCTAAATACCAAATGGACCAGTTGCAGTCAATTCTATCACCACCATGATCAACTTACATTTATCCACAAAACACCTGTTTATCCACCAAAATAAAGTTCTTCACTGTTTTAATTCGCTTTTGAGAACTGTCATAGACACAGAACAAATGGCTGTTAATGTTACAGAGTTTTGAATTTATCTTATGATATGATCACTGCTGTTTATACCCAACTTTCAAAGAATACCCTTTTTTGTTGTTATTCTGCTTGTCTACTATTATTTTATCTTTATAAATACACTCTTCATTTTACAAAGTGACTTAAATTGCTTTATTGATTCCAGATAGCAGGGGTAATATACCCAATCGACTTTGAAAACAAGACTGTTATCATCACATGATAGCTGAATAATAGATTGACACTTTTTGCATTCATACCCATCTCCAATGCCTTTTTCTTTCTCTTTCTCCCTCCTTTCCTCCTGTCTTTCTTTACTTTCTTCATCAATTATTTATCGAGCATTGACGTGTTAGGCACTATGCTAAATGCTGGGGAATCAATAATAGATAAACTCTTGGTCTCCATGAAGCTTATTCTATTGATTTAAAATCTTTCCTATCTGTTTGTTCCAAGGGTCATTTGGAGAAAATACACTAGTGGAATTCATGGGAAAGAAAGCAAACGTAGACAGCTTTCACTAAGTCAGAGAAAAAGTATGTCACTAACCTTTAGCTGTTACAGTGTAATCTTCTTTTCCGGCTCTGGTTATATCAACAGTTCCTCTTTTCCCCAAGAACTGGCTCTGGAAAGGGCATTCTTCCTCCTCTAGCATAAATAACCCTGGGTGGGAATGTTTAGATGGATATCAGTTGGATGAGACCCAGGGCGGCAGAATAGACCTCCTAGAAAACTCAAGGGCCCATATTCATCTGGTAGGACTGCCTGAGGCCTTGGCTAGAGGGCTTCTGTAGAAAACCACAAATGCACAGGAAGAATTGGAGAAAATCAGATAAAGGCAAACCATTAAGTGACACATGTACAGAAGGGAAGCAGTTAAGAATTAACTCAAATTAATTTAAGGCTACAAGAGCAAGTGGTGCAATGGCTTAGTTAATAAGAAGCTAGTCTCCAAAGCTAGGGCTTTTGAGCCAAATGACTAAGGGCCTTCAGAGCTACCAAGAGGCAGGTGGCTGGACAATGGGACCTATCACAGAGAGAATCACAAATCATCACGGGGACTAGGAGAATGCACTATAAAACGGATGAAAACAGATTTGTTCACACATCCATCTACCCATATATATATCTGTTGTTAATCGATTCAGCAAATGCTTGTTGATAACCACCGTTCTAGGTGATGGTGCTGGGGATACAGCAGTGAACATGCCCTCATGAAGCTTAAAATTCAGCAACAGGCAGGGGGCATGTTGAAAAATAAACTGGAATGTAGATAGGGGTTATACAAAGAAAAAGACAATGTCAAAACTTGAATCTGCTGAGTTTGGCTAGTTTCTTTGGAATACCAGGGCCCAAAGAACCTACCCCTTCAACATTTTGCTAGTCTGAGGTTGCATCCCTCTTTAGTCTTTCTCTCAGCTCAGTAAGACCATATAAGCATCGACATCTTTAGGCTTGGGCTCATCTATACTGAGGCCTCCAGTCCTGCCTTAACAGGGAACATGAAACCCTTGGATGTCTGCACTTGCCTAGGAATCAGCTTCTTGAATTTCAGATTTCTTTACTGTTTTTGACCTCTAAAAATTGAGCTCAAGTCCCTGGCTTTCCCAGGCTCAATATTTACCCAGTGTTCTTTGCTTAACTGATACCCATCAATCTTTATGACCCTACTCAAATCCCTAACGTGAAGAATTGGAGTTGGGGGTGTAACAGCCCATTCAGGATGTATAGTAAGTGCAGTCAGTGAACAGAGGTGAGCAAACCCAAAACTGAGATGGATTAAACACCTGGAGGCCAGATCAGGAGGTGTAGATTACAGGCATCATAGTTTATGGAGAACACGTTTTTTCTAGAAGACTCTCCCAGAAATAATTCATGCTGTATTGTGATTTGAAGACAGTTTAATGGTGAGAGTAAGGGCCTCTTCATGAATAAAATCAAGGAAAATATTGTTTGTTAATTCAGACGAAACAGAAGGGTACAGGATGAATAACTACTTGTAGAAGAGTGATTGTCCTGGAAGAGTCTGGAAAAGCTAGGGAGGAAGGATTTATCGCTGTGTCTTCAGCACTGGTGGGAATGGGTGGATGGATGATTGACTGGTCTTCCTGTCCATTTGGAAGCCATGTCCTATCGGCATGGACTATCATAATTTCATTCATTCATTCATTCATTCATTCATTCTCCTGTTTATTTTATTTTTTTGAGACAGAGTCTCACTCTGCTGCCTAGGCTGGAGTGCAGTGTTGCCATCTCAGCTCACTGCAACCTCTGCCTCCTGGGTTTAAGTGATTCTCCTGACTCAGCTTCTCAAGTAGCAGGGACTACAGGCACAAATCACCAGGCCTAGCTAATTTTCATATTTTAGCAGAGACATTGTTTCTGTTGGCCAGGCTGGTCTTGAACTCCTGACCTCAGTGATCTGCCCATCTCAGCCTCCCAAGGTGCTGGGATTACAGGCGTGAGCCTCTGTGCCTAGCCTCCTTTTTAAATCTAGATACTATTGAATATAACTTGATAGATAAGACACAATCCCTTTCCTCTTGGAGGTCCCAGTCTAATGGGAAATGCAGGGTTATACCCAACTAATTAAAATACTGTGGGTTGAGGTTTTTGACACAAGGTTCCTTGGGATCTCAGAGCAGAGGCAATCTAAGGCTCTAATGCTTCCAAGGAAACTGACAGAAAGCATGCCTGAGGAAGTGACCTTTTGGTTGGAGAAGGGTCTCAAGGGTCTTTCCAAGGTAGGTTTTTTTTTTTTTTTTTTTTTTTTTTTTTTTTTTTTTTTTTTTTTTTTTTTTTTTTTTTTTTTTTTTTTTTTTTTTTTTTGTCTTCGCTTAGCTCTTCCTATGGGAAAAGACTGTTTAATCTACCATGAATAGTTCAGTCTTCTTGAAAAATACAGTTTGTACTGTTAACCAGTGAACTCCAATTAATTACTTAGAACTAGTGTGGAAATTACTTACTTGGACCTGAACTGAAAAATTTTTTTAAATCTACAATCCTTTAGCAGGGTTAGAAGATATGATAACTAAAAGACCCAGCCTAATTCTTTACCACCTTACTATTGGCCTCAACTTAGGAAATTTTAGGGCTATGTAAGAGGAAGCTCTTGCTCTTACAAAAAGTCAAAGTGCGTATGGGAGTGTAGCAGGGGCCTCTTCCATACTTGAAGAAGGTACTTAGTTCCTAATAACAGTTAACTGGAGGACTTGAATTAATTTTTATTCTCCCAGGACCCTAAGCCTTTAGGCTTTCAAGCCTCTGGTAGGGCTGTCATAACAAAACACCACAGACTGGGTGACTTAAACAACAAAAAATTATTTTCTCACAGTCTGGAAGCTGAAAGTTCAAGATCAAAGTGTTGGCAGGGCTGGCTTCCTCTGAGGTCTCTCTTCTTTGTTTGCATATGGCCACTTTCTTGCTGCCTCTTCACATGGACTTTACTCTATGCATCCACATCCCTAGTGTGTCTCTTTTGTGTACAGGTTTCTTTTTCTTGTAAAGAGACCAGGCATATTGGATTAGGGACTGCCCTAATGGCTTCATTTTAATTTAACCACATCTTTAAAAGCCCTACCTCCAAATACTGTCATCTCCTGAGATACTGGAAACTAGGGCTTCAATCTATAAATGTTGAGGAGATACAGTTCAGCACATGACAGCCCCTCTTTGCACATTCCTGCTCTCCGATTGTCCTATGATTCACTGTGTGGACAACTGCATGAACCACTAAGGAAACCAGTGACCACGGGGTCCTCTACTTCTTAAAACAATGACCCCTTCATACTAAGAGAGAAGTGGGGGGGGTGGTTTGGGACCTGCATGCCTTATGGGTACCTGCACTCGACTGCAGAGCGAGCCTTTTTTCATGACCTCCCAGGATCGGGGACAGCTTCCTGAGTTTTATGAGAGACATAGTGAATTTCTATTCGAAGCAGCTGAAACGTCCACTTTGTACCTCAGGAGCACATGGGAAACATGCAGACCATTGGCCATCAGAGGCTTCAGACTAAGGAGTCTTCAAAGAGCTCAGGCTTCTTTGTAGAAGCAAAATACAATGTAATAATAGAGTCAAGATGAGAGGAAGTTAAAGAACTCTGCAAGGCACAGTTAGTACCACCCTGAAAATCAATGCTTCCTGTTTGCCAACAAACCTCATTCTCCTGAGGGGCCCTGGTCAACACGAACAGGTCCCTTTTGCCAGTGGCTCTAGGTAAATTGGCTGAACACCAGTTGTTTCCATTTTACATGTGTAGTCCCTGCCAGTTCCACCCCTTCTCTTCGTGTACCTCTAAGTTTCTTCAGTTGTTTTCAATCCCTCTCATTTGTTTTTATTTACACCAATTCATCTAAGTGCCTGTTAGCTCCTCTCCCCTTCTCCCAATCAATCCTAGTTCTTCCAAATCCCTCCTGGCCCCACACATTGCTCCCTTTACATTCCTGTCCTTTAGTACCTTCCATTGTATCCATTCCCCTAGCTCCTCCCACTCTTCCCCAGCTCCTCGCTATCTCAATGTGTACACATGCATTTTAATGTTGACAAAGGGGGCCAAATTGCCTATCACAGATGCTGTACCAGTTTATATGTACATCAACATTAAACTCAATGAAAAGGCTTGATCTCAGAAATATCTTCGATAACGCTATTACTCTTTATCTGATAATGTGCTTTGTGAAAATAAATATCTTACTGCTACTTTATTTTGTATTTTTTTGAATATTAGTAATGTTGAAAAATGCTGTTATATGTTGGTTAGCCAATTGTGTTTCTGATTCTGTAATTGCCTGTAATATGGTTTGGCTGTGTCGTCACCCAAATCTCATTTTGAATTCTCATGTGTTGTGGAATGGACTTGATGGGAGGTAATAGAATCAAGGGGGTAGGTCTTTCCCATGCTGCTCTCATGACAGTGAGTAAGTCTCATGAGATCTGATGGTATTATAAGGGGAGTTTCCCTGCACATGCTCTCTCTTTGCCTGTTACCATCCATGTAAGATGTGATCTGTTCCTCCTTGCCTTCAGCCATGATTGTGAGGCTTCCCCAGCCATTTGGAACTGTTCCTAAGTCCATTAGACCTTTTTCTTTTGTAAATTTCCCAGTCTTGGTTATGTCTTTATTAGCAGTGTGAAAATGGACTAATACAGTAAATTGGTACCAGTAGAGTAGGGGCATTGTGAAACCATACCTTAAAATGTGGAAGTGACTTTGGAACTGGGTAACAGGCAGAGATTGGAAGTTTGGAGGGCTTGGAAGAAGACAGAAAAATGTGGGAAGTTTGGAACCTCCTAGGGACTTGTTGAATGGCTTTGACCAAAATGCTGATAATGGTAAGGACAATGAAATCCAGGCTAAGGTGGTCTCAGAGAAGAGAAACTTCTTGGGAACTGGAGCAAGGGTGACTCTTGTTATGTTTTAGCAAAGAGACTGGCAGCATTTTGCCTCTGCCATAGAGATTTGTAAAACTTTGAGCTTGAGAGAGATGATTTAGGGTATCTGGTGGAAGGAATTTCTAAGCAGTAAAGTATTCAAGAGGTGACTTGGGCACTGTTAAAGGCATTCAGTTTTAGAAGGGAAGCACAAAAGTTTGGAAAATTTGCATCTTGACAATGCAACAGAAAAGAAAATCCAATTTTCTGAGGAGAAATTGAAGCCTGCTTCAGAAATTTACATAAGTAACAAGAAGCCACATGTTAATCCCCAAGACAATGGGGATAATGTCTCCAGGGTATGTCAGAGGTCTTCACAGCAGCCCCTCCCATCATAGGCCTAGAGGCCTAGGAGGAAAAATTGGTTTTGTGGGCCGGGCCCAGGGTCCCCATGCTGTGTG